TAGCCAACTTTAAAATTTGAACAATGTGTAAAAGAAATAAGGAGGCATCTTACGGAAACAATGGCAAGCTGCTGAGAATTGAAACCAGCACCTTGCAACCTACATCGAAATAGAAAATAATATAAATTGAAGTCATTATAAAATATAAACAAAGGTAATGCATACAGAATTCCTATTCATGGACATAGTTATAGAAAGGAAAAAGGAACTGGACTCCCTCCCATTATCATATATTCATATTTCCTCAATTAATTGTATAATCCAACAAGATCATCTCACCAATTTAATTGACGACACAAGATTTTACACAATCCCTACCAACTTATATGAAACTTCTAATGGAGCTTAACGCAGGTAAACCCTTGTTTTGATGACGGATATTTGGTACAGAGTTGTGGTGGGCTTAAACAATGAAATTCAGAAAAGCTGTGTGCTCTCTGAGGGAAAAACTAGTCTAACATTAACAATGTACAAGGCATATGAACAACCTAAAAATTGCGTGTAATAATATTAAAAATCTTTGAACGAAATTTTGGTCAACAAAACAAAAGCATGCACTAGGGAAATTGAGGATTGGGGGGATTGAAGAGGGGTCATGGCCAAGACCAGAAAGAATTACCCAAATACCAAAAATAGAAAATTTGCCGGCCACAAAAAATAAAAGCATACCCGTATATGTGGAGATAAGAATTTTCTGTCAAAAGCTCTTTCTCATATAGATGCATGCATAGATCATAACTGCGTTTGTAAACCTGTCAGGAAAAAAAAATAAAATAAATAAATAAATAAAACCTGAATAAAATTGCCAAATTATAGTAAATGGAAAATAATATGGAAGACAAGATAATTGGAAGAACCATTTCCTAAGATGTATCAACTAATTTACCATCAAGACATAATTTGCAGATGCTATAAACAAAAGAATATCGAAATAAATAATCCAGAAGTGCTACAAAATTCGTCTTGGTAATTTAAAAACAAATAAAACTTCGAAATCCTAAACGCCAAGAAACATGGCTAGGGGCCAACGCAAATATGCAAATTCAATAATGAAAAACAGTCTCATATAGGCAAAACTAGCAGTTCTGTACAAAGGGTAACAATATATAAAAGTGTTAAAATTGTAAATAATGCAAGAGCCAAAAAGAACATATTCAAAACAGAGAAGAGCACATGATCATCATTCATACTATACCTCCACTAAAGGAGTGTCAGAGTTTTCTGATTCCTTGGGCATCAGACATAACTGTGTTCTCATTAAATCATACATATGCAACAAATAGTGTGTATCTTCTCTGGCATATCTGTCAAGAAAATAAACTTCTTTAGATAACCATGGAATTTAAAAAAAAAAAAAAAAAAAACACTCTAAAAGGAATGGACATGAGAATGCAACATCTAACAAATCTATTAATATAAACACCCAAAAGGCGACAATAATCATGTGACCAAGAAAGCAAAATAAATTTATGATGCATGAAGACTGCCCTTAATGCATTGTTTACTCCAAGTTTCAATTTGGAGGTAATCTTAATCCTAAAACTAATTTTCGAATTACAAGAAATCGCCGCACTAGATGATCCTAAACAATCAAGTGTCAAATAACTCTATAACAGATAAGAAGGAAATTTAACAGTTGTGTCGATTATAAGATTAGGATTGACCAGTTTGAGACTTATAAGATATTATCAACAGAACGAATACTAGCTGAGTTGCCCACTTAAACTTATACAATTCACATTTTTACCTGATCATCTCCTCAGGCAGAGGGCGTAATCTCCAGTCTGCATTCTGGTATCTGCAGGAGAAACAGTAGTTAAAATCAAAGAAGCAACACATGAATCTATCAAATATAAAGAGAGAAAGTTATTTAGGAGCATTTAGAAGATTAAAGCCATCAAAGTAATAGCAACATCTTACTCTTTGTTGGCAGTAACACCACATAAGTTCTGTAGAAGATACTCCAAACTATTTCTCTCCAATTTCAACACCCTCGAAGCCTAAGGATTAAAACAAATTGGTCATCTTTGGTTAGCAACACATTATAAAGAAAAAGTATATTTCAAGTAGAAAAGCTAAAATCGTAAGAACAAAAGTAAAAATAATGATACTCTTTTCCAGATAAAGGAAAAGATACTAAAAATTCCTTTGCAAGACAAGAAAATCCATTCGTTCAGTTGCTTCAAAGAATCAAAGTACATCACCTGGCCAGTATCAAACAAATTGCAGATATAAATGCCAAAATCACGTTGAAGCCACATGATATCACGATCTGCTCCATGCATCACCTGATGAATTGTAAAATATTGTCAGAAAAAATTATATGCTACCAAGGTAGAAAATGCAAATGGGCATGAAACATACCTTTCTCTTGGCAGGGTCTTTGAAAACTTCCCTAAGATATGGCCCAACATGAATTCTAAGCTTCAGAGTATCTACAATAAAATCTTCGGTTCTAGTTGAAATTTGCATCAAGCAAGTCAATCCTTGAAAAGATCGATATTGATTGTGTTCCAAATCGACCTAGACAGCAAAAGATAAAAGTTAAAATACAGGGGAACGAATGCCAAAATGCAAAGTTAAGTAAAATGAAATAATCATAATAATGAAATGCCAACTTAGCAATTCCATGAAGCTATGAATGAATAAACCTTTTGAAGAACTCAAATATAGGGTACACATAGGTAGCAATGTTGCAGATGAAATGGAAAAGGTTAAAAGAAGCAGAACAACTGGAAGAAGAAAAAAACCCCGATGGAAATATATGCTCACATAACAAACATTACACAAATGTTTATACAAATCCATTGCCAATAACAGATGCTAAGGTGAACAACTCTTGCGTAGACACCAATTTGACATCAATTAATACCATGTTCAGGTTGTGCTATTTTATCGCAAGTAACTGTTTGTGAGTCTAGGAATATATTCTATAATGCTATAAGTTCCTATGAATACAACCATGAATTCTACACTAAATAAAATGGATGACAGGATAGCAACATCAAATCTGCCTAGTCATAGTGACTGCAAGTACAACAAAATTCTGCTGAAGCAAATAACTTTAACCATCATGGAGTTGACTGCGAAATGGAGATCAGCTTTCACAAAAGAAAAAAAAAAAAAAAAAGGATTATTGCAGTCAAATTTTACCGCAAATTCATTAACAGCACGGAGCTTAGCTGCGAGCTCTTTCAGATCCTTGACCTCCTCCACAAGCTTGAATGGCGTGGACTCTAATGAAGCCGGTTTTACAGACTCAGCATCCCCAATGTTGTTGTCAACAAAATCCAGAACAGAAAGCTTCTCCTTTATTCATTAACAACACACTAATTAGAAAAAATACATACTCAACTAACTCAAGCATACTTTTTTCTCTAAATACATACTCGTCGTTTAACAGCACAATCCCAAAATAATGTAAGACAAATTCTCAAAAATTAAATAATTTCAAGACCCAACATAAAATCACCCTGAATTCAATACATAAAATACAAAACATGATCAAGTAATGACTTACTAGGGGATGAAGAAACTGTTGACCGTCCTCACTTCTCTGCAACCAAACATGCTCAAACGGCTGGTTTGCATTATTAACCAAAATATTAAACTCCTCCTGAGGCCTCCGAATGCTCGGTATATGAAACGGCACTTTCGGCTTCGTCGCTACCACAGTTTTCTTGTCCTTGGAAGCCACCTTCACAGCAGAGGGTACCTGACTCGAATCATCGTTCCCACTGGCCGCTGCCGACCCAGTAGGCCCCTTCTTCTTCTTCCCACACACCAATTGAAACCCATCGTCTGTGTCCATAGCCGCACTCGTCGGCCTCTTGGCCTCCTCCGCCTCCTTCCTCACAATCTTGAACTCGTCCACCGACGAGTCAAACCTCTCCAGAGCCTCGTCGTTCACATTAACGAGCCAATCGTACGCGTCGTCCAAGTCATCGGGGAAAGCCACCGGTTTCCTCCAAACCGGCGCCGACGAGCCAATCGAGCCAAGCATCGTCTGCGATTCCTTGGTGATTTGCTCGATCGGGACTCTGAATTCGTCGAAGTTGCGGTAGAAATAGAAGTCCTTGCTGTTAGGCAAGAATCGCGAGGAGCCGGAGAGCTTGGAAATCGACGAGGAGAGAGCGCCCTTGGTTAGGGTTTGGAGGGCGTCGGACTTCGTCTGCGGCGGCGGAGATTGGTCCACGGTCACGGCGTCTTGGCTCATGGCGGTTGTGCAAATGGGGGATTTTATCGGTTAGGGTTTTGCTAGGGCTTCATTTACAGTTAATTTTGCCTCCCTGGTGATCACCGATGTTTCGTTCATTGGCCGTTGTTTGTTAAAACTCAACCTAATACCGGGATGTCACGTGATATTCGTGCATGATGCACGTGATGATGAAGAATGTGCGAGTAAATTTTCAGTTTTGCCCACATAATTAATGCATGAGATTTTTGTCGCACAAAATTGGAAAGGACGTTTACTGGGACAAGGAGAAATAAATATGCCTGTTGGCAGTGTTGGAAGCAAAATTAGGGACCGGATTTCCTCAGTATCCAAAGGTTTGAGTCAAATGATCAAATAATTCGGACCATTAAAATTTGATCTAACGAATACAAATATGAGATTTTTTAAAAATTATAATAATTGTAACTGTTGGTAAAAGTTTTCAAATATAAACAAAGTGCAAAACATGAAAAGATTTTCAATTTATTTATTGAGGTATTTTGTCAAATCCTACGGTAAATTGAAAAGAATTGTCAAGTGTTATCTGCTTAACCTATCGATATATGACTAACATACATTTTATAAAACACTTTGTAAAATATAACAGAAACTCTTACCAAACATTCAAGAAGTATTCGAAAGACCTTCACATGTATATTTTTGAAGGAAAACTAATGAAAATGGTTTGAAAACTTTGAGTTATAATGATAATGACAAAATAAAGAGTAAACGTACATTCTAATTTTTATTTTTTATTTTTTATTATGAAAGATGATACGGTAATCTTGTAAAAGAGAAAGTAACGCAAAATACGAAAGAAACCCAAGCAAGCAAGAAGTGAGCAGCACCAGTCTCACTGCAACTAGCGGCTCCTTCCCTATTGTCTGCGCCGCCAGCATCCAACTCCACCCTCCTTCTGTCCTTCCTCCGGCAATTGTAAGTCCTTCTTCACGTTGTCTTCGTCTTCTTCTTTTCCTTTTTCTTGTAAACTCATTTATGATTGTTTGTGATTTCTGATATCGTTGATAGTTTTTTTAGGGATTTTAGGATTTTAATTACTGCCCAATTTCTGATTTCGCATAATTCCTAACCTTTTAGGGATTTAAAGGGTCAGTTAATAGTAAAGATGAAAGCTTTGGATGATTTCACATAAATGTCTAATTTCTAATTTCTGAATTGGGCTTGTAATTGAGCTCGGCAGCTTTTCGGATTTCAGTCCACCCATCTTTTGAACCTGAATCCGCCCCTGCTCAATTTCGACTGCCATTTTTTTATCTTGTTTGGAAAGGATTCATCTCCAGTTTTTGGGATGACCATGACCATATTCTCTTACCCTTTGCACTATTGAATACGTTAGGTTAGGTTCTGTTTTTCGTTCTTCGTTTTCCTTTTCTGAAAATTTGTAAAAATTGTACTCTGATTGTTAGCATTTTTTGTTTTTTGGTTATGTTTTATCTATGGTGGCTTTTGTTTATAACGGCTGGACAAGTTGGTCTCCATATTTGTTTGAATTTGTCACCCCCCCATACATTCATTCTTCATCTATCACCACAGATTGTACACGAATATGGAGTCCTTAGCTGTTTTCAACTCCTCACTCTCACTCTACTCTCCCTCGCATGACCACTTGATCCCAAAGAACCTTGGACCCTTCCGTACGACATCATTGCAATCTCACATACCGATGCCCAAGATGGAGGTCCGATGTGCTGCCCAGGCCCAATCCACTGAAACCAAGTCCAAGGAGGCCAAGCTCTGGGGCGGCCGCTTCGAGGAGAGCGTGACTGATGCTGTCGAACGATTTACTGAGTCCATCTCCTTCGACAAAGCCCTCTACAAGCATGATATCATGGGCAGCAAGGCTCACGCTTCCATGCTAGCCAAACAGGTCATTCCTCTTTTCTCATTTTTTGGTTTTTTAAGTTTTATTTTTCTGGGTTCTGTTTGGTCTGAGGGGAAGCTTTATTTTTATTATGTTTTAGGGATTGATTACTGTTAATGACCGGGATAGCATCCACAAGGGGCTGAGCGAGATAGAAAGGCTAATTGAAAGTGGCGAGTTTGAATGGAGGACCGACAGAGAAGATGTGCACATGAACATTGAGGCAGCGCTGACTGATTTGATCGGCGAACCGGCTAAGAAGCTCCACACGGCTCGGAGTCGAAACGATCAGGTTTTGACAGATTTTCGATTGTGGATCCGAGACGCGATTGATGCAATTGGAGTGAAGATTAAGTATCTTCAATTTTCGCTCGTCAAATTGGCAATGGAGAACGAGGGTGTGATCGTTCCTGGTTACACGCATTTGCAAAGGGCTCAACCTGTTCTCCTTCAGCATTTGCTCTTGGCGTTTGTTGAGCAGGTTTGTATCTGTATGGCTTTGCATAATGCAATTCTTTAATTATTAACATATATTTATATGGTTTGTGGCCCTTGTATTGTGGTAGTTGCTATGTAATCATACATTGTTTGTAGTATTTGTAGTGGCTTGATAGTTGGTTTGTGTACAAATTTGTCAATTAGTTGTTATTACCATGTTAAAATTGAAAACGTTGGTTGCTTATGGAGTACTTTTCTTTGCTGTAGTATATCCTTGGCCTTCGGAAGAGACTAATTTTGGCACTTTTTCATGTTATGTAGCTTGAACGTGATGCTGGCCGTTTACTAGATTGTAGAGTGAGGTTGAATTTCTGCCCCTTAGGTGCTTGTGCATTGGCCGGCACTGGACTTCCGATCGATCGGTTTATGACCTCTGATGCTTTAGACTTTACTGCTCCTATGAGGAACAGGTACGTCCCTTGGATTGACTTTTTGGTTGGGATTGAAGTTGACTTCTGCTAGTGTGCTGCAGTCTAGAGCTAAGTTGCCTTTTTGTTTCATTGGTACTCTGCAAATGATGTTGTAAACTGGCCAATGGTTAATAAACTAGTCATTTACTTTATGGCATTCTCCCCTTTTCCTTGTGAGACCTTGCAACATACATGATTATAGTTGTATGGTTCAATTTCGCTTTTCATTCTGATGAACAAATTTGTGAAAGAAGCAGCTGATATGTTATCTTTTCCTTTAACTTAGGATTGATTATTGTTTTCCTGTTTTTCTTGCATTAAAGATTAATAATGTTCATCTAATATTGGAAAACGCAATTGTTCAACTTATATATTCATCACCCTTTGCTGTGATGCCATACAAGTACTAGGTATGCCCCAATAAGCTCAGTTTAATGAGCGACAGTGTTTCGTGGTGCCATCTGGTGGGTCTAAATCTTGTCTTCTGGTTGGTTGAGTATTCCATGCTTCTTTATATCTGTTTTCGTCAAATAATAATTAGTTTCTTTTCTTAATACAGTATTGATGCAGTGTCAGACCGAGATTTTGTCATGGAGTTTCTTTCTGCTAATGCCATCACAGCCATTCATCTCTCCCGGCTTGGTGAAGAGTGGGTACTGTGGGCTTCAGAGGAGTTTGGATTTGTCACGCCAAGTGACAAGGTTTCAACTGGAAGTAGTATCATGCCTCAGAAGAAAAATCCAGATCCCATGGAACTTGTTCGTGGAAAGTCTGCTAGAGTAGTAGGAGACCTGGTTACGCTTCTCACATTGTGCAAAGGACTCCCCCTTGCTTACAATCGTGATTTGCAGGTATAATCTTTTCTCTTCTTTTTGAATTCACATTCAATCAGCACGGAAAGGCAAGGGTTTAGTTGGGTCTGTTCACTCTTTACGTTCTTGAGCCTGAAGCTAAGGTCTTAGTTGGATATTGCATGCATATTACTTGTACACAAACACAATGCTACATAAAAGGATCTATTCTGCTTGCACTTACAGTGTGTAAAATTCATTGGTCTTTTAACTAATCCTGCATTATTTTGAGTATGATTGTGAAGGGTTCTTTCTTGTCCCCTTGAGACAGGAAGATAAGGAACCTGTCTTTGACAGCGTGAAGACCATATTGGGGATGCTTGAAGTATCTGCAGAGTTTGCACAGAACATTACCTTTAACAGGGAGAGAATACAAAAGAGTTTACCTGCTGGTCACCTTGATGCCACAACGCTTGCTGATTATCTCGTGAAAAAGGCAAGTTCTGTTGACTAACTTTCTTTTTGCCAATTATAGACAAGCTTAGAACTTTTTGGACTTGAAATCATCATTCTTGATTGGATATGCTGTTGTAATGCTGAAGCTATCCTTTGTAACTATTCAAATTCTTGGATCAATGTTCTAAACTGCCCATTTTATCTGCGTGTTTTACGATCACATGTAATTCATAACATTTGTCAATAATTGCTACTGAAGTTGCTTTTCTTGTTTTATAAAGGGAATACCTTTCAGAACTTCTCATGACATAGTCGGAAGGGCAGTTGCCGTGTGCGTCTCAAAAAGTTGCCAGCTGCAGGATTTGAGTGTCGATGAGCTCAAAAGTATTGATCCAGTGTTTGACAAGGATGTATATGAGTTTCTTGGAGTAGAGAATTCAGTTAAGAAATTCTCCTCGTATGGCTCCACAGGGTCAGCATGCGTCGCCAGTCAACTTGATCATTGGGTTACAAAACTTGAAATCAACAAAGGGGTCTGACAATCTATGGTGCTAGAGATATGTAACGTGGATCGCTGACATCGATTAGGAACACATTCACCGGACGCTTTGAAGTAGTGCTTCGCTGAGGAACGAATAGTCTTGAATAGTTGGAGTTAGCGAGTATGAAAGATGCGAACTTCTCTCAGTAATTTTCATTGACCAACGATGAACCAAAAGATTAAGGAATCTAACAGCCAAAAAATAATAATGATTACCTTGATACTGCCTTGTCTGAAAACACTTCTCTACATTTTGAAATGGCATTTGGCAAGGCAAAAGAAAATGCAGTTTACAAAATAGAGAACACATAACAAAATCATGAAATTGTTTTTCTAAAAGCGTTTTTAATTATTTAAAAGTACTTCTAAAATGAGTCCATGAAATTTGTTTTTTTTTTTTTTGTCAAACGATGGACTAATCTTATTAGATATGGATAGAAATGTTTACATCAAATGTCGTAGTGTTGAATAACCAAATAACACGTATAACTCGATGAAAATCCTTCTTGCTCTTTGCTTCAATAAAAATATTACAAATCAATTAAAATCTTCTAATATTATGCATTTTCCAACTCCAAAAAAATCTAATTAATATCTTATAACAAAAAAACTAATATACTAACATAAATCTATATGCAAAACATTCCACCCTAACTCAAGTAACAAATATATGAATGTATATTATACCTATGCGTGAGATATGAAGCCTAACTAAAAGGTAGAAATAAAAACATAACATACCTACGAGCAACAAATTAATCTGTAACAAATTGATTATAAAAATGAATATGTCATATAAGTAAGTAAATACAATTAACATGTGATATAGGTGGATTATAAAAATAAAAAATAAAATCTATAAATGAGGTTTAAAGCAGATAATTAGGAAGAAATTTGATTTTTATAATAAATCTTATCATTGAAGATATAATTATTGATAAGTAAATTTAAGGAATTATTTTAATAAACTGAATTATTGCTACCATTGGCTCAAAAAATTAAATTTATATCAAGTTTCTTCTATAAGGAACATCATAACATAACATAGTATTACTATTTATATTATAATATAAATAGATAAATAAAGGACTTGATATGTGTAGCATGTTTTAATTTGAGTAAAATAATAATTCGGTGTTACGGGTTCGTGAAAAAATTACTTGGGGTCGCCACGTAACCTACTTAAAATGACTCCCCATCTCCGACGACTCCCCCCTTCTCTTCCCAACCACCTTCACCTCCTTCTAATTTTCTTTTCCCTCCTTTTTCTCATTCGGATTCTTCTTTCGTCTCATCTTCTTCCTCCTCAATTCGTTTCTACGCACCCAGGTATTTCACCATCTTTCAATCATTGATTGTTTTCTGTTAATTTAGGATTAAATTATGGCTTAATTTTTGCTAATTGAGGTTTAAGAGTGCGGATTTCTTGAGAAAAATGCATTCGTGAGCGAGTTTTTATGATTTGCAGTCAGTCCTGCTTCCTTGTTTAGGGCAAACAAATATTTGAGCTTTGAGTGGCTAACTTCTAATTGACATTTAAATAAATACATTTTCCTAATCACACAAGTTGTAATTTCCCAAATTTCAAGCTCTGAGCATGGAATTTCTCAAATTTATAATCCTTGAGTGCTAAAAAGCTGTTAATTTTATGCTGAAATTCCCAATGATTTAAACTAAATTACGGAATTTTTTAATAATACAGGTCAGATTTCTAGTAGGTTTATGCTGAGGAGTTGTTTTGATCAAGAACCCAAATTATTAACCTTAATGTATTTTATCAGTTCAAAGTAAGGGATACCAGGAGGGGTAGGGGTTTGAATACAGAGAGAGGAAAAGATGTCGGGTATGGGAGACGGATATGTGGGCACGGCTCAAGATGCCGTGAGGATTCGAAGACTCGAGAAGCAAAGAGAAGCCGAGCGCCAGAAAATTAATGAGCTCAAAAGCAAGTCGGCCTCCGATAACGGCCAGCCGGGTCTCCTCCAATTCGGATCAAGTACTTCTGAGGTTTGTCTTTGAAACCGAACTCATATCTAGGGTTTTAAGGTTTCCCCATGCGCATATACTTCAGTGTCAGTTATCTCTGTTTTACCAATGAATGATAAGCATGAAAACTGTGCAAGTATTCATTCAGTTTTTTCTTCTTGTCCTTATGATTTATATGGTACCAAATGGATGTGCTGAAATAGATAAAGATACCAAGTTTTGTATGGACAAAATTTTATTCATTGATTAACGATTTTCTCGTTTGATATTTCAGATTCTTGAGACGGCATTTAAGAAAGAAACCATTGGTCTGGTCACAAGGGAGCAGTATGTGGAGAAGGTGAATATAATAAAACACTAGCATTGTTTTTTTATTTATTTTAAATTTACTTATACTAATGGAAGCATAAAATGGTTAAAATGCGGTGCTTGTACTGTCGATTTATGTTGTAGAAAGAAAATATTAAGAACAAATATGAGGAGGAAGAGAAGGAGAAACTTCAGAAGCTACAGCAAGAGTGAGTTTCGTAACTGAGGACTCTGTTGCTGTTTGACTTATGAACATTTGAAAGTGTTTATGTTTGTCAATGTCTGCAACAGTCTAATATTGTTTTTCCTTTTATAATTCAGGGAGGAGGAACTCCAATTACAAAAGCGAAAGAAGAGGAAGATAAAGGGGAGTTCTCGATTGTCCTTTGCAGATGAAGTTGAGGATGGAATTGAAGAGGAAGGTGGAGAAAATAGTAAGAACTTCTCTCCTTAAAGAATTAATAATTATTATTCTGGTTATGCAGTGCCTTAAGTTGACTGACCGTCACTGAAGTTTATTGTTTGGATTTGGAATTTTGTAGATTGATTTGGCATTTCTTTTCACCATTTTATTTGACACGTTCTCCCCTGATGAACTTTAGGTGTAGATCTAGACTGATATATATTGCAACTTTCTTGTATAGAAGCGTCCATTCTAATTTTTGACGAGAGCATATATTTAGATACTTGATGATTTAGTGGTCACTTAAGGGTATTCTTATCTGGTGTTTTTGTGGATGCCTATTAGAAATTAATACTGATTCTTGTTCTTTCATTTTGATTATATGCTTTTTCTACAGAAAGCACGGAGGCTACAAGATTACGGTGTGGTAGACTTGGGAAAGATCCTACAGTGGAGACCAGCTTTCTGCCAGATAGGTGTAATATTTTTCTATTTTTCTTTCACAAACTTTTATATCCCTCGCTCTTATTTGATTCTTGTTGGGTCTAACATTTGAACTTAAGAGGTGCTATGGATTTATTTCAGTGAGCGGGAGGCAGAGGAACAAGCTGAGCGTGAAAGGTTGCGGAAGCAGTGGCAGACTGAGCAGGATAAAATAAGAAGTAATTTTGCTTTTCTAATTTTTCTCTGTTTTTCTCCTTTTCCAGTAAGAAGTTTTGAAAGAAACTTTTACCGTGTTTTTTCAGGGGAGTCACTTCAAATTACTTACAGCTATTGGGATGGAACTGGGCATAGGAGAGTGCTACAGGCAAGTAACATGCTCGACTTGCATTTGTTTTCCCTTCATGATTCCTCTTTTAAAATTGAAACTATCGTCTTTTCTATTATTTTCATATTCTGTTTATTTCCATTCAGGTAAAGAAGGGTGATAAAATCGGAGATTTCCTTAAGGCTGTTCAACAGCAACTTGCACCTGAGTTTCGAGAGGTGCGAACCACCTCAGTGGAGAATTTGCTATATGTAAAAGAAGATCTTATCATTCCACATGTAAGCAAAAACAACTGTTAGTAATGCATTTGCCTGGTAGAAACTTTACTGAATAAATGCTAATTAATTTCCCATTACTTGTGTCATGATTGTGGAAGTACAGCAGCATAGTTTCTATGAGCTAATTGTAAACAAGGCTAGGGGCAAAAGTGGACCGGTAATGTTCAATATTTCTTGTTGTTCTTCTTCCGTCATTTGGGAAAAATTGTATTAAGGTTAAGTTTGTCTGAAATATTATTGTAGGATGTGCTCATTGATAGTAACTCATTACGATATTCTGTTGTATTTTGTATAGCTTTTTCATTTTGATGTGCATGAGGATGTGCGAACAATTGCTGATGCTACAATAGAGAAGGATGAGGTACATTGTCGATTCATTATTAGTAATCCTCTATTACATAGAAAGTTTCCAATACTAAAGAAATGAAAGACGAGCATTACCATGGCTTGAGTATGCTTGCTTATACTTTTCAGGTATCTATTTCTGGTAATGACATGGCTCCCTTCGTATTCTTATATCTTTGCTTTTATTTTTGTGGCAGTCTCATGCTGGGAAGGTTGTTGAGAGGCATTGGTATGAGAAGAACAAGCATATTTTCCCTGCTTCCAGATGGGAGGTACCCTCTTTCTCTCTGACTCCCTCTCTCACTCTCTATTCTTAGATGTGTGCCATATATAATATGTATAGCAAAGTGCCCCTTTCGCCTTTTCACTCCAGACAGGATTGATAGTGTGGTATACTGCTTGCCATTCTACAACTTGTTTATCTTGAGCATTAACTACAATGCTTTTGAGTATGCAATTTCTGTATATGTAGTGAAACCAATATCTGAATATTGCTGATAAATTTTAATTTTAAGTGGGATAACATTATTGTGTCCACCAGCATGGGCGGTAAATAAGTTTGAGTATGGGAGCGGGGTTTAATTCTCTAACCTCTCTATTTCAATGGGATCATTGCCTACCTTTTTTGCTACTTCATCCAAGTATATAAGATGTGTTTAATATACTTGAGTAGCCAAAATCAAACATAAGACTTGCAGATGAGCTTCGTGCTTCTTTATTCTTTTATAGCAATATGGGATGTTCACTTTTGGTTTTTGAGTGACAATATATCCACCTAAAAAGTGCATAAACCTCTTGTGATGTTTCCTTCAAAGTTTGCATCATTTCTCTTGTAATGTTCCAGTATCGATGTTTCCTGTTTTAAGTTCCTTGATGTTTCTGTTTAGAGAGATACTCCACTATTGGGTACTTGTCTACTATCTTTAGCGTTCTTTTTAGTCACCCGTTTTATCTTTTTTCTTATGGCAGATATATGATCCAACGAAGAAATGGGAGCGTTACACAATCCACGGGGACTGATTCGTTATCACAATTCACAGACATGGGAGACTGAATTGAATGCAGTTGCGAGTTGTTCCCCGTATGCTGCACAGTTAAAGGGTTGAGGTTCAGTTACTGCAGGTCCTTATTTTTTTTCCCTTTCACTTAGTGGTCGAAAAAGAGATCAGACTAACAGAATGTTGTTAGCAGATTGTATACACCTTAATCGGAACTGTAACGAAATCTGTTACAAGCATTTGGAGCTTCGTTCATTTGCTATTTAGTTTCTTTTAGGTTCTGTGGAGATGTTTGAGATGGCATACGTTGTGCTTATGCTTTTAGAAATGGTAACGTTCCTGAAAGATTAAGGATTTTTTTGGTAAAAAGGTACGGGCTGCTTACAAACTTTATTAGTCGACTAGTCATTTTTTACATACAGCAATATTGGAGAATAAAATGGTCAAAGTCACACAATTGGCTAGTTATATGAATTTTTAAGGTATTGAACTCGTCATTTATAGTCCATAAGAGTGGAATGTGATGTATCCCAAAATTACACGGGGAGAGAGAATTATTAGACTGTAGTAGGCCACGAATTGGTTAGCTCAGTTAATTTTTGTTTTAACGAGCCTACTATTTTGTTTAAGTTCCTCCCGTCTAATTTTCGAAGAGCCTAACAGGATATCGAGAAATTTTCAATGTGTCGAAAATACGACATATTACACTATCATAATTTAAGTGGTTCAATACTTTCAAAAAAACTTTCAATCAAATTTTGACATTTAACATACTGTGTCATATTTTCAACATACTAAAAATCTCTCCACACTCAACCTCGAAATGCCATTTTTTTTTTTGGACACATGATAGGTTGATCTGTAGTTTTTATACCATAACAACAAAGATTCGAACACAAAATCTCGAATATGAGTTTTTAACCATCTAATTACGAACCACTCCGGACTGCAGATTTACAATTTTACAGCTCAAGAAGAAAAAAGGTTGACTTTTTTTGGAACATTCCTTCTACATAGGTTTGACTGTGGAGGGTTTATGTCAAAATTCTCCATTTCCTTGTTGCCTTGTGCTCGCTGTTATTAGGGTTCATTTGGTATTACTGTGCTTTAAAAAAAAGCTGTTGTGATGTGAGAATAAGAAGTTATGAAATAAAGCAACAGAGTGTTTGGTAAACCTTTTTTGTAAAATATTTTTGAAAAAAAAAAGAAAGTATTATAGTGTTTGGTAAACTTTTATGTAAAACAAATATGAAAAAAAACCGGTTTTTCAAAGCTAGGTTTTGCAGATTTTTGTTTTTGACTTTTTTTCACTCAAAACTACGAAGAAAAGTTGAAACTGAATGTTTAACAAACACAAAAATAAAAATAACTCCATTTTTTTTTTATACCAGCTTTTTTTTCAGAATCTCTTCGGAACCAGGTCTTACAGTACCCAGTACACCTGATCTGTGCCTTCCCCCGGCCCACAGCGACGCTCTGAAATGAGGTCCTCCTTCTTTCCCCTCAATCTCTCTCTCTCTCTCTCTCTCTCTCTCTAAAAGATTTCAGTTTGATTAATTTTTGGTTGTGTTTTGCGGTGGGACCAGTCGGCAGCCGGAGGTTCTGTGGGCGCAGCGCTCCAACAAGGTGTACCTGACGGTGGCGCTACCGGATGCCAAAGACACCACCGTCAAGTGCGAGCCTGTGGATATTTCAGCTTCTCCGCCGTGGGAGTCCAAGGCGAGCCCTTTCACTTCACTCTGGAACTGTACGGTCCAATAACCCCCGACGGCTGCAAAACCCGAACTGGGTTCGGAACATTCTCTGCTCGATCCAGAAGGAGCAGAGAGGTTGGTGGAAGCGGTTGCTGAAGACGGAAGAGAAGCCGGCGCCCTACATTAAGGTTGATTGGAACAAATGGTGTGACGAGGACGAGGAAGGTGAGACTTGTAACTTGTTTTTGTTCGTCAAGTTTCGATTTTTATAAATTGGGTTGTTTTGTTTTAGCTTTTTGTTTGGTATTGGTTTATTTTTCGAAATTTGATCATGTTTTGATTGATGGGGTTCGTCTGGTTATGATTTTGTCTTACCAATTTGTGATTTTGAGGTGAATAGCGAACCACCTAAATGAATTTTTGGATAGGAAAGGTTATTTAGGATGGAATGTGAAGAAATGAGCACAAGGTGGCATAAAGTTGATAGCTTGTGAACTATCTGGAATTTGGATCAAACATATTAAGATAAATGAGTCCGTGTAAAGGCTCTAGTTTGGCAAGTATTCTCATTCATGCGCTTTTTGTTGTTTGTCCAAGCAGTGAGTGATCGAAAGGAGAGAAGCAGGACTATCTGGTGATTTCGTCCGCTCACTATGGCGTGTACATAAAACTGAGCTCCTTGGGACCTTGTCCCTATTTAAAGATTATCAGAGTAGCAGAGGGAGGCCAAACGTTTCAAGTAGCTGGTAAAAGGGCAAGCGAAGATTCAACAGTTGCCATCTTTTTCAGTATATGTAGAATCCAATGGGGCAAGTATCTACACTAAGGCAAGTATAGCTGATAAAATTTTCCACAGAATACACAGTATATTAGGATATTTTCCGAACGGTGGTGTTTACGTTTGTTAAAGAAATTTACACGGTTATTTAGGTAACATTCAGATTTCTTGTTGCGGTTTTAGGATTAATTTGGTTTGTAATTGTGCTATTTAGGTTTAATTTGACTTTTTAAAGTTGTCAGGAATCATTTTCCAAATTCATGAGGTCCCAAAATGCGCAGTAGGTGTCTTTATGCTACCCGCACTGTTATTGTTAATACGAAATGCCATGGTTGGCCTGGGGAATGCCAGTTGGGCATGATTGCTGTTTTTAATTCGACACAATCTTAAGTATCATGTGCCTGCAAATTCAGTATAGTTTTGGAGAGAGATTTTCCTGGATCTGGCTCAACTTTTGTTTGGTATTTTTCAGCTGATTTGGCCTCCGATGATGATCATGATGCGGTAAATATGACACCCTGTATCATTTAGAGTAATGGATTAACTTCACCTAATCAGGTAAAATGGATTTTGTACTTTTGCAGTATGTTGGTCAAGATGGGGGAAGCAGCGATGACGACGGAATGCTCTGTAAGTGTATTTTTCCTCTCTGTCCGTTGGTAATGTTAGTCACAGTTAATCTTATAGAAGTATGTGCATTTGGTAATTTTTGCTGCTGAGTCCTTATGAAGAGTTCCGCAAAGTTTCTTTTACTAAGATAATGTGTGGCTTAAACAGCAAGCCAGTGGCAGCATCCTCTGTTTGCAGACTCACTTGATAATATATACGCATAGCGAGGCACATGAACTGTCAAGTTGATTTCTTTCAAGCCATAATTTGTAGATTTTCAGTACATTTGACATTTCTTCTTATTGTGTTTGAAGTTTGTTTGTCGTCAAGAGTCCTAAAAGATAAAATATATGAGTCTGCATTTTAAAAACTACAAGTTTACAACAACTTCTCTGTTACTCTCAAGTTACCATCCATCGTCAATTTGTCCTTGAAAAAGAAGAAACCCTAGCGATGCCATTTAGGACACTGGTTTCAGTCGGTGGTTGAACGAATTAGAGTGAGTCATATGAAGGGTGTTGGAAATGTTAAAAGTGTTGCATCTGCATCTCTTTCTCACGGTTTTTTAACCCCCGGTTTTGGATTGTTTACAGATCTTCCGGACCTGGAGAAGGTAAGAATGTAGGAAAATGGTGCTGAAGTAGCGAGTAGCAAGAAACGATATGGGATGGACGGCAAGCGACTCTTATTCAGAATAGAGGGAAAGCTCGTTAAACTTAATGGAAGGCAGAATACTTCGCTTTTGACATGACATGACAGATCCTCTTGCTCTAAACTTAGTATTCTCTTTGGTTCGAACTCGAAGGTTTCACATACATGTGGATCAGTTGACTGCTGTAGTTCATCTTTAATCACCAGAAAGAGCAGAATGGTCGGCAAAAAACTTGAACGATGAGAACGAAGAGAAAATCCGTGAGTATTAGACCCTGAACTTGTAACAACGCGAAACAATGGTCACTTCAATTAACTTCAGTAGAACTTTTGTCCCTTATTGCCGCTTTAAACACTTAATTTAGATGAAAGTTGTAATGCTGTTATCCAAAAAAACCATTGCCCCACATTATGACAAATTCAAGGACCAATACTCAGCTGAGAGACCGAAACTCACAGTTTGACTAAAATTCGGAGACTGATACTCCAATTATTATTAACATTACCAGTTTTTCTGTAAAGAAAGTATGACAATAACAACATTCATTTATAATCTATAGGTCTTGATGATGATATTTATTTACACATGGCCACACATGCAAGCTACCCTTCTTCTGTATGCATTTACCGCAATGTCGAAAAGAAATCGGGGAATCCACGACAAACCGGATGCAGAAGCGCAACGGAAACTATTTCGGGCAGTTGCAGTCGGAAGCAGACTTATTTAGTCTGTCTTGGACTCTCGAGTCTCGACAACACGGACAGGAATGACTGGAATTGAATCCCACCATTCTCTTAGTCGTCTGTTGCTTTGGTTCTCTCCCTTACTCATACCTATTCTTGATGCCAATGTCGAAGAGAAGCAACAAACTATGGCTGCCATTATAATGAACTTCACCGGAACCACCGCCAAAAATATTGCGATCGCACTCAACAACGCCATCGCCACATTTGCATGCTGTAACAACAATTAAAGTTTGTTAATTGGATTGATCAATCTCTTATATGCATGAAAAAAGTCGGCAGGACATAAGCATTGCGACATTTGAGCCTCGAAATTACGAGTATTTTCGACTCTTGCTACTAATGTTGTGCACATAGTGAGTTGTAGAAGTGAATATATAGCTTGGCTGCATAAATAAATGGGAATTTTAACAAAAAGCTTCCCGTACTATTCACTTTACTTTTTATTTTATCCTTATCGTTAAAACTCAAAATTTTCAAACTCTTTTTATTAATTTTCCTTAAATAAATACCTTGCGAGCCTTCGAAATATATATGGACCACAACTTCAATATCGAAACATTTGCTATCTGCACCATCTCATGCACAGTTTGCATTCCATGTTGAGCGGACACTATGCTTTCTATTGTACTCTGGTCCGAGGCGGTGCACACGACTATCTCATTGCATTTTATATCAAGTCTTTGCCGTCTTGCTCTAACCATCTTCGCAACAAGCGAAATGAAGAAAGCGGCTATTGCTTTGCCAACCCACTCCCTGCATA